GGAACACTGTTGTTTAAAAAGCTTCTTTATTATTTAGTGAAGTTACTGTACTCCTGAATGGATGGAGGAACCAAACATTTTAAACAGCTAAAACTACAGTAGCAATATTATATTAAGATGATACTGAATTAAAAAGAAAACTACTTCTAAAAGTTTTCTTTTTCCTAAAGCTACTAAAGTAACTGTAAGTTAGTAAATGTAACAAGTTACAACCAACCTCTGTCAATATGGGACTCAAAAATAAGGCAAACTAATTTGGGCAATCAAGTGAAGCTCGGCTGTTGTATTATATGTGATATTTGTCAACTTATTCAGACTATATATGAAATCTAATTTACCAGTCTGTGTGGCCTAAATAAGCTGTAAGGAATCCCGCTACATTCTGCACATTATGTATTGCTTCAGTCTTTCTGCTGCTGCCGGTTTCTGCTTGACACTTTTCAGCCCCTCCCCCACCCAATCATCCCCTTAGGATTCTGAGGAGACCCTCTCCTAACTTCCCAACATGCAGACATGTTCAGACGGAAAGAGATGCGTTAATTGCTCCATGAAAAGTTCAGCAACATTCACTCTAAAGCAGGCATCCCCAACCTCGGTCCTCGAGGCCCGCTGTCCTGCAGGTTTTAGAGGTTCCTCTGCTTCAGCACAGCTGGTTATATTGATTGCAGTAGACCAAAAGCCTGTTAATCAGCTTCAATTAAATTCAGCTGTGCTGGAGCAAGGAAACCTCTAAAACCTGCAGGACATGGGGCCTTGAGGGGATGCCTGCTCTAAAGGACAATGTTAAAGCCTAACACAATTTCTAATGTGTTCAGTAACAGCTGATAAAAGTGCATTTAAAGATGTACAGGTGAGTTTATGACTGGACTGCTCAGCCATGGGGCTCCGTTAGCCATCATTGCTCTTGAAAAGAGAAGTTTTTCCCTCTAGTGCAGTTTAGAGTTGGATAGTAGAAGCAGACTATTGATATTAAAGTCAGAGATTGGAGCTGTGGAAAACAAAGAACTAATGCTGAGTATTTAAGCAGTGGAATTGGTTTGGTGGAGGCAACCTCTGTGTCATGCAACATCAAACAACAACTAAAAATTATGAATTTCTTGTTGAAATATTGTAAAGGCTAACCAACCTCAATATATACTGTAAGATAAAAAGTGAGAGAGTTACAGTCATTTTAAAAGGTTTGTTCAATATAGTATCAGTGGTTATTTTGTTCAAAATCAATATTTCTTAAAGTTTTTCTTAAAAAAAAGTATGAGTATACTACTGCAAAAATTAAATGTAAACCTTTATTTTATTTAGAGGATTTTTACAGATCTTAGTCTGCTTAGGGAGGTACCTTTTTTTTTTAATATAAACCAATTAAAAACGACTTTTAGCTGCAGGACAGGATCAGACTGAGACTGATAAACAGAACCTTATGTTTCATTTGAATCCCATTACATAGCTTATTCCAGTCAAATACCAACTAATGCCTTTGAGAAATTGTGCGAGCTGAAGGCACCAGCTCGCATAAAGCCGACACCCACATGCTCATAATCAAAGGTGAATTGTTGCACAGCCTGTGGAAATTTGCATCCAGTGGAATTTCACTTGGCTTGGGCTGACATCAGATATAGGAGATGTGAGGCTGTGAGGAGGAGGCAGCGTGTGCAGGGCCACATTTCCAACAAGAGCCCGAGAGTGGTAATTATCATCAACTGCTCTTGTCTGATTGAGTCTACCCTGTGACTACAGCGTTAGATTAGTCACTTTTTATACTTGCAGCAGTGTTCAGGGTTGGATGGAAAACTTTGCTTCTGTTCTATTTCATCTTTAAACACCATAACTTTACGAAATCCAGAGAAAACTTTTATAAAAACTACTTTGCGTCGCAATCTAAAAGGGATAATCCCACAGAATAATGCGCTCCTGGGAGCTCCTCACACTAATTTACTCATTTTAATTAGTTTGATCAATACTCCATTATGGGAGGTTTAAATGTGGAAGACAAAGCGCTCAGCTGAGTGACGAGTGGCCATGAGATTCAGACGCAAGAAGCAGATAACTGGATTTTTTTTTTTAAATCTTTACATTTACGATTTTTTTGTTTGTTTGTTTTTTAGTCAAAGGCTGCAACGGCATCACTCTGTATATTTGTTATGTTAATAAAGTAGTAGGAAATGGGATTACCTCTCACGGAGGTGCTGATCTGAGTGCGTCTCAGGAGCGGAGGATGTTGACGATGCCGAACACCGGAGCGCGCTCCTGCGCACCGCCGCTCCCCGCAGAAGAAACGCGTCCGTCCTTTCCCACGGCCGCTGTCATCACTGAGTCGTTCGGAAACGAGCAGGCAACCAGCCGCTGGAAACGGAGAGTTAGTTTGTTCAAAGCAGATGACTCGGGTCTGTGTCCGAGGCTGTGCACAAAAGGAGCGCTGTGGCCACGCCACTGCTTTAGCTTTTCGTGGCAGACAGGAGGGAAGTGGGGAGGAGCCGTTTCCCGTCTGACGATCAGAGCAAGGTGCTCTCCTCAAAGATGCTCTGTAAACCTCGACCGAGCTGCTTTAAGACCCTTGCATAGGAATTTCATAACCTGCCCTCTTTGAGAGACGGTGCTTGCTATTTTGCGCAGCTTATCTGGGGGCTTTTTGGTTCCAGTTTTATAATAATCAACTAAAACAAACCACCAATGCTATTTAGAGGTTCCTTTCATTAAAAGAAAAGTATGCATTCTAATTCAAAAAGTAAACCTCAATGTGGATACATTTATTTCAAAGGTGATGTATTGTATTTGTCAAAATCAATTTAATTTCCTTCCCAAAATGGAGTTCAATGAAGTGCAAAATGGAGTGCAATATGAATTTTATTTCCAGTACTTTGGCTAACTGTCAATATCTGTGTTTGATGTCGGCCAACATGCAGACAAAACTGATAAACACAATGAAAATTAGATTGTTTTTTTTAAATAGCTAGGAAAATGAAAATGAAGCAATGGGACAGTCAATTCACACAACAGAAGAATGTTTTAATCAGGGTTTAGATATGAGTAGCTGTGGCAGAGGATAAAGTTGGAGAACTAGTGCATAATTCTCTTCCATATATCAGTAACACTGTCACTTACAGCAACACACTTATTGTTGTGGGGGAGACCGGGGAACATTCTGGACATTTTTCTTTCTCATACTTCAACTCTTGAAGTTATCAGTCTGTGATACAAACTAAAGATAAGTGTCATGATCTGGCCTGTTAGCTCCTACTTAACTGATAATCTCTTTCACCTGCCATTTTCCCTCCCTGCCTCAATTTTAATTTATTTCTCTCACCTGTTTCTTCTGGGTTATATTCAGTCCAGCCTGAGCACTCATGGCCAGATCATCATTTGTTTTCTGTTAGTCTGTCTGTTCAGTTTTTGCCTTGGTTCTTGTCCTGGATCCTGGCGGCCAGTGGAAAGAGGGTTTTAGTGTTTGTCTCGTCTCCTGATCGTCCACTTTTCCTCCCCCGCGGAGTCCTCTGGATTTTTGGCTCTATATGTGGGGAGGTTCGGTTTTTATCTCAGTAAGCCTGGCTCCAAGGAGGAGACCAGTTTAAAGGTCCTGCATCAAGTTCTGGTTCCACGTCCTGTCTCGGCTACCCTCTGCCACTGAGCCCACCCATCTGCACCTGATCCTGTCTGCTCCTGTGCGTGACCGCCTAGTCATGCTTCCGGTCGCAGTTAGACTCTGAACCTGCCTGTGAGCTCTATGATGCTTGGAAAGCCTGGATCCTGCCACCTGTCTGTTCCAGCCTGATCTGGATCCTGTTCCTGTCTGTTTTGAATCCCTGACCAGGATCGGCTTCCTGCAAGACCTCCGGAACTGCAGCTTTGGGGACATTCTTGGACTGGACTGTTAAACCAGGTAAGTGACCAACTCAGCTAAACATCTTCTGTCAGATGATCGTGGTCACCCACCAGTGTTTCTCCTGCAGAGTGTCTGTGATTGCCCCGCTTCCCCTCCTGCAGTATCCGAGAGCCACAGCTCCACTTTAGTTTTCGTTTTGTTATTTAATAAACATTTTGAACTTTCCTACTGACTGTCTCTCCTTGAATACTGGGTCCATCTGTCCTCGGTTCATGACAATAAGTTTGACTAATGAATGCAGCTGCAGAGAGATCAGCAGCTCAATGGATCACCTGTTACAAACATGGAGGTGTATTGTAACATCATAAAATAAGGACTTTGACAATGACAGAAGTGCCTGAAAAAAATAACCAAATGCAGATTGGAGACCAGATGTCACTACCCCACGCTGGCTTCACATTTTGCAATCACACTATCAGAGGTTTGCGACATTGTGATGACAGTTTTTGCACTACTACATTATAGCTGTGACTCTTTATCATTTAATTCTTTCCAAAAATGTTTTCTACATTTTGTTTATTGAGAGCCACTAATGAAAAGGGTTGGAGTTTGTTTCATACACCCAGAAAAGCAATCTTGTTCAGACATTGAAATGTTATCCCAGGCCTTTGGATGTTTGCAGCCACATTTTTACTGCACTCAGATATGAACGTTGACTTACTGGTAACTGTCCACGATTAACTTTTTACTATGTCTTCAGCAATTATTTGTGATGTTACCATAATTGTATTTTATAAAATTACGCTAACTTATCATACAGTGGTGCCTGTGTATGGCAGCTTGCCACCATCAGTGTCGAAGTTAATGAAAGACTTAAAGGTATTGTGGAGGATGTTCTTTTTCATCATCAAAATAAGTGGTCCCCTTAGTTGTCAATCATTCTGGTGATATGTTTATGTAAGGCCATCCTACGTGCCCCTCCCCATTTTCACTTACCGGTGGTAAGTTTGACTTAGTGGAAAAGTTGCAAATGTTCTTTTGGAAAG